ATGGGATACCTCTTTGAAATAGAACTCGGGTCATACACGCAGGATAGGAAGGGGAGACGGGTTCAACTGGCCCTCGAAACCAGAAGAGGCCACTTCAACTGTGTTCTCAGCAAGGGGGCTGTGAGGCCTGCAGATGCTGTGGGCGGAAGAGGTGGTCGCTGCTTTGTTGCCACTGTCTGCCATTGTCCTTAACTGCTAATCCGGTACAGGATCACGGAGAGTCTGGAGTCTGTCCCAGCAAGAAAGGGACTCAATAATGGGATGCCAGTCCATCACAGGGTACACGCTTACACACTATGGGCAATTTGGAGTCGCCAATTTGCCTATCTGGATACTTTCTAAGCTAGTAAACCAGAGTACCCGGAAGCGACCCATGTTAACACGAGTAGAACATACAAATGGTGCATGCAGAGAGGCGGTGGGATTTAAAGCCCGCAAGCCTGGAGGTGTGAGGCTACAGCGCTACCCACTGTGCCTTCTGTCATTGAGACCAGGAAGAACAGGAAGCAGGAAGGCTGTCCACTGCCTAGTTTGGCGGTAATCAGCTTTCGCAGACTGCAGCTCAGGGTTTTGCCTCCCAGGTGGCTTGTGGCTGCCACATCGGAGGACAGAATGCCTTTGAGTCACCTGCCCCCCGTTCCGAGGCACAAGGGAAGCTAGGTGACGCCGTGTTCCTGCTAATGTGAACATTAACAAGGGACCAACAAGGAGTTTGGGCTCAGTTTACCTCACAGCCATGGGCAAATTTGTTCCTATGGTGCTGGAGACGTTTTTCTGGTGACAACAAAGCTCTCACATAACACCGGGTACGCTCAGGGCCGACTCCATAGGCTGACTGCCAGGCTAATCACGTTTGATTGGGCCCCGGTCTCCGTCTGGAGCCACTCAGGGTGGGGCTAGCACGTGGGAAGCCGGCTGCCTGTCTGCCTGGTGCTCAGATAGCAAATTAATTCTTATCTATGCCAAAGCCACACATATTTTAACAATTAAACTTGGTGGTTAAAGAGGGAATTTCATTGCCTGGAGTTACTTGCACTGCTGACGCTGCCGCCCAGGCAGGCCGCCGTCGACTCGTGAATCCCCCCCCCACTCAGACGGTGTTGGGATTGCCGACGGGCCCCTGGACAACAACCGGGACCGTGATGCAGTCAGAATGTAAAATAAGACCAAGTCCAGTGTAGCTACTTGTTAATTTTGCCTGCATCACGCCTGTTGCACCCCTACCCGTGCCACTGCACTAAAAATGCATCGATGCTTTGCTGCCGCCACTGCACTAAAAATGCATCGATGCTTTGCTGCCGCCACTGCACTAAAAATGCATTGATGCATTGCTGCCGCCACTGCACTAAAATGATATTGATGCATTGCAGCTGCCACTGCATTAAAATTATATTGATGCATTGCAGCTGCCACTGCATTAAAATGATATTGATGCATTGCAGCTGTCACTGCATTAAAATGATATTGATGCATTGCTGCTGCCACTGCAACTGTCTTTGCTGCTGCTGGAGCTCTTATGGCAAAGGGTGTGACATCAGAGAAGATGAACGCAACAACGTGACAAGTAGGGCAGTAGATAGCGAACTGTAAGGATGTTAGCTTCAAACCCATAGGCTGACTTCGCTGCATTAAAATATCAATGGATAATGCGTATTTGGATGAATACAGGAATATAAAAAAGTGAGGTTGAAGCAAAAAACCTCGCTTGTTGAAAATTTTAAATTATTACTTTGAATTACTTTGAACATTTTGCAAAGTTGTAATGAAATGCTATGAAAGCAGATTGCCAGGGCAGACAGAGATCATCAACCTGTCTGTACATGGACAAACATGTCGATGGCAAAATGTTTTGATTGAGTAAAAAAAAAAACAACAAAAAAAATCTATGTAGTCTATGTTTTTAAATATTGTGTCCGTAGTAAAAAATTGCATTTTCATCAAAACATTGATCAGAATTCACCCTGGTGTTGGCCCCTGGAGTCAAATATTTCTTTTTTTTGGACGGTTTGAGAGCGGCATTTGCCAATCCATCTGCCTCAGGTGAGGCCGTCCAGGCTGACGTTCATCTGCCACAAGGCCACCAGTGATTGCCAAAACAGCTCCTGCATCGTACACAGTGTTCCCTTCTGACGACGGCTGGAATCCAAAACAACCAAGATTGCATAGGTACGTGAAGTATGTGTACGTTTAGATATGAAGGCCGTTATTTATGTGGGCAGGGTGGAGACAGTGCTGCTGTTATGACGGTGGGAAATGCACGGACTCGGGTGGTGAATCGGGTAGGGGTACCACGGGGCATTCTACTCTGCACCCCAGACAGCATCTGAGGGAAGGGTGAAGGACTGGTGGTGAAGAAGGACGAGAGGGCAGGGTCTCATGATGGTACGCACTGCGTGATCCGTGCGAGGCGTGACGCTCACGAGCGAGATGAATGTTTGCGATGCGAACTGATCAGATAAAAGTGCAAGAAGGACACAGCCATCCTTACATGATCAGACGATCACGAAAACAATAGCGTGGCACAGTTTCATGCATTCCCAGGAGGCAGCACTGGTCGTACCTTATCTTGCTCCCCATGAGGAACACAAACACACCCGCTCAGCATTCTTATGATTACCCTGCCAGCTACGGGATTCAAACCCACAACCTTCCAGACATTGGCACACCTCCCCCTAAATGACTGCCTGATGGCTACATGTCATTTTCTGCAAATGAAAACCGGGCTCTCTGTTCCAACAGCCCCTACCCCATCCATTCCAGGAGGCAGGGTAAGGAAGTGGCAGGCGCTGGGGTGCGTGGGGTGCAGGCACTCTAAATCTGAAGGCAAATATGGCAGAAATTTGAAAAGGACAATCCCTGATAAATCACCACCTACCACATCAAGCATCCTGAGGCGGCTTCTCACGCTGAAAAAATTAGAGATGTATTAAAAGCTCAATTAAAAACCATGATGATCAGAGAAAGGTTGACATGCCCTTTAATGCAAATGTACTTATGCATCTACAGCAAGACTCACTCCGGATATATAAATACCACACAGTCACTGTTTCCAGGAACCTGTAGTCTACGCCACGTGCAAAAGTTTTGTTTTCCATGGATAGTAAGGCTGACGGCACCCTCGGCAAAGCGGCTCTAGCTCTCCGCGGTCCCGCGTGGCCTGTCAACACGTCGGAGGCCCTGTTTCGATTACGATTTAGCTTTATGCAAACGAGGACCAGCGGGAAAGCAAACACTCAAAGCCTTGGGTCAACATCGCTTACTGGCGAGAAGGAGGGAAAAAATCCACCAAGAACACCAGAGTGCACTTATGCTCCAGAGACACAGGAAGCTTCTCCGTCTGGGGTGGGGGGGGGGTTCTGTTTGCATAGCTTCGTATGCTGTAAAGCCGGGTGACGCAGCCACAGCTCTGGGAAATGATGAAGACAACGGGCACGATGTGGACAGTCCTGCCAGACTCAGACCTTTCACCAGAGTGACTGACACTACGACCCAGCAGCGGTGGTTCACAAGGCCACAGGTCCCTGTCTCTCTGAGTCAGGCTAGTGAGGTCACATAGATGTAGGAGCTGAGGCAATGGGATAGCAACACCAAGAACTGCTTCTCTATGAATGCAATGTATGAAGTACATCAACACATGTTAAAGGACGTGCCCGCCAAAGATTTTTCAGGGGTTTTGCAGAGAAAATCCACGAAGGTGTCACTTTCTACAGCCGGATTTGATTGGCCATGAGGGCAGAGGACTTGTTAAGCAGTTCCTTTTTACTTTTTAATTTTTTTAAAGAAAACTTCCAAAGAATATATGAACGCAACAATATCCATTGATGCTGTCAAAAGTTAAGCCATTTCATAAACTGATCAGATTGCGAAAACCACAAAAAAAAAGCAATTTTATGTGTAAAATATACTCTCCAGCTAAACCTAACTTCTTTAAATGTGTCCATTTATTAAAAACTGAACCAACAAATAACGATTTTCATTAAAAAATACAAGCTTAAATCACACAAGCCTCATTGGTCACCCATAGACTGGTTCCCCTGCAGCAAATAACAGCTTTACAAACAATTTTCCTAACACGAAAACCAATTTTTACAGCCAACCACATAGCTCAGATGGAGGTTGTAACACTTGAAGATACACCATTACACCTAGTGGTTAATATTTAATCAGACATTAATGTTTTAGATCCATTCAGAAGTTCACACCCATGAACTCTGCAGAATAGTCCATTAAACTAATGATTAACAGCTTTAAGATCCTGTGGCTCACACAGATTGAACGATGAAATATATCCAAATGAAAGACGGAGAGTTCAGTTTGATTAGGCAGATTTAGATTTATATCTCTCACAGCACCCATTCCAGCACGTCAGGGTGGGGGGGGGGGGGGGGGGGTGGTGATAGTGGTGGTGAACGCGGGCTGTCAGTGCGCCTAGACTGGCCAGGGGAAGCTGCTCCCAGAGGGTCACATCCTGCTTTATCTGGAAGGCTCCAGAATCACTTCCGCTCAATGTCAAAGCTGAGCCAGCAAATGAGACGCTGGACGGGATTAAAAAAAAAGAAGCTTCCGATATGGATTAACAGGGAAAAGAAATATCTATTATTCATTCGTCCAGCTTCCATAACTGCTCATCCAGTGAAGTGTCTCTGTGAGCCTGGACCCTATCGCAGGAAGCAGAGGGCACCGGGCAGGGGGGTCCCTGGACGGGATGCCAGTCCATTAAAGGGCACACACTCACCATTGGCATTCCGGAGCCACCAGTTGCCCGGAACACGTTTCTGGAAGACCATGCAAATGGGGAGAACGACACGGATGATGGACTAACAGCCCTTGAGGGGTGAGGCTGCTGAAGTATCCCTTAAGTCACTGTGTCACCAGAAATCAGTTATTCACACAGCAAAACCCATTCAAGTACACACACGCACGCACACACACATGCGTGCACACATGCGCGCACACACGCACGCAGACACACACTGCACCTGAAAAAGAGCAAACAAGGAGACTTTTGTGTAAGTTTAATATGTAATAAGGAAACCATTAAATATGAACATTTCTGAAGAAATGCCCTTCAAAAGGTGGTTGCTTTCTGTCTTATAAATACCAAGGATCTGCTGTACAATACAAACAGTTTAATCATTTAATTAGCAGTCAATATTAACTTCTAGTTTGCACATTTCTGCATATAGAAATGGAGGGAAAAACACCTAAGAGGAGGAAAAGGGGAAAAAGCCAATTGGTGCAAAATAATCGTCCTCGTCATCGCAATAAACTCATAAAAAAGGTACACGTTTTATACAGAGGATTTATAACGAGGGAGGGTTGGTAAACTAAAAGGAAGACACAAGGAAAAACGTCGAACTGTCACATGTATTGCATATGTTACTTTTTGCTCTAAGGTGTCCTGTGTGTTAGTAGATGACCTAAGCATATTTGCATGACGGTAAGAATTGCATACGACATTTATTGTGAAGCTTGAAGCACAAACTGCTGGAACAAACATCACATTTTTTTTTCTGTAAATAGGCAACCTAAAGCACATCTCTCCCCTCTTTCCAGAACTTTTTAAGACACTTGTTTTTAACCGTCCATAAAAAAAAAAAAAAGTCATTTTCTGAATAGAAAACAAAAGTCAAAGTTTATGGAAGAGAGAGGAAATTGCATCAGACCACCATGTGACTGCATGGGAGAATAAATTAAATGCAAGAGGAGAATGGAGAGGCTTCACATTTTTAAACCCTATGGAGACTTTGAAAGATACAGTGAAAAATTTCTGGAAAAAAAAATTTCGGCAGTGCCATATTGTACAAGGCATTTGTTGGCATAGTTTATTTAAACTGTATCCTTTTACAGTTAATATATACGTCTTTATTTATACATATATATTTCTTCCAAACAAATATTATTCAAAAAGGGAGACTCACTTCCCACAGCGATCCTGCAGAGTCTGCTTCCAGAGTTTGTGCGTGATCAAGTTTGCATTTCAGAATCAGACTCTGCCAGCGGAATCGGGCGTCTGAGGCCGGTAAATCTGCGGTAAAGCCCTAGTCTCTGGTCCCAGTGTGTTCTCATTAAATCCAGTGGACATCACGGATGTAAACATCCCATCACGGCCTTGTTGCCTTCATCAGTAGCTCAAATCAAGTGTAAGAACAAATGAACGAGTCAAGTGCAGTCGGAAAACATCCACGGTAACAATTTTTTCATTGTTTTTTGTGTTTTTTTGCAAGTTAATAAATGTTCGGCATCGTCTTTACAGTGAATAATACAGATATTCACAAAATTAAAGAAACACGCAAAAACGGTAGTAATACCATAGTATTACTAGCTTTATTTAAATAGGGTTAGAGCAGCACTGTAGCACTGTGCTACTCTTTGGGGTCGTACCCCGACCCGGTATGGATGACTCCTGATAGATGCTCCTCCATCTTGATGGAGAAGTCGCTGTTGACAGTCTGAGTGCTCTCATTCAGCTGCTGTAGCAGCTTGTCTTCTTCGTCATTGGCCTGCTCCTCTTCCTCGTCCTCATCTTCTTCCTCCTCCTCCTCTTCCTCACCTAGACCAACTGGGCCCTTGGGTTGACCCTGACGATGGCAGACGTAGAACCGCTGGTTCTGGAAGAACTTTACAATGGTGTGCTTGGGGAGATCCAGCTGGGCGGACAGGGTGTGGATGGCCTCCTCATCGGGGTGGAGGCCCACATCCTGGATAAAGCTCTGGAGGATTCCCAGGGCCTCCAGGGAGATCTTGCCTCCGGGCCGAGCCTTGTCCTCCGATGCCTCGGCGGGTGAGGCCGTAGACGGCTGGCGGGGAGGTAGGCGAGGCCCCGCCTGCTGCGGAGACTGCTGCAAGGGCTGCTGGGAGAGCGGGGCCTGGGGTGGGAGCTGCTGAGACAGCGGGGATTGTTGCTGGTGCTGCTGGGGCTGATGGGATTGAGACTGGTGAGAAAATAACAGACACACACGCACACATACAGAATTAAAGGGGGGCTCACTGGAATCCCTGGACCCTCCCATGAAGGAACCCACCACCTAAACCAATGCCTCTGTGGCTCATCTTAAAATCTGAACCAGTAACCTGCCCACTGACAAACTTGGAGGCCCACCCACTTCCCCGCATAGCCACCAATCAGATGCCAGACAGATCACTCCTCCCCACGAGACAGGCGCAGAAATGTGCAGCGTCTTGCCTCCCTAATCGGAGGGATGAAGATATAAATGTGATCACAGGATACAGGCATCAAAAGGTGCTCCTGCGCTGATGGTGTTTAACCCGATTACAGGAGCCCTGCTCCACCCCGCCCCAGTCTGGCTCTGCTGGTGTGGTGTGGCAGCCTTGCCTCAATTTCCATTCACATTCCCGAGGATTTATTGGCCGGAATAATATACAGTTATCATACTGCGGCACAGACATCCAGTCAAAACAACTGATTTAACTGCATTTTATGATTATGAATGTTAAACGCCATCAAAAATCTATCCATGTACCTTCTATAAGCACTTATCTAGTGCAGGGTTAGTATAAGCTTGGAGCTTGGGTGGCGTGTCAGTCCACTGCAGGGCACACACTATGAGCGGGATTACAGAGGGGGCGGGATTCGAGCCCCCGGTGAGGTAATCAAGCGAGGGGTGCAGAAGCCTAGATATCACACAGAGAGCACCCCAGTTTAGAGCATAAAAGCCATAAAAACGCGAAAGGGGGCCGAAGCAGATCAGAGGCGTGGGTGTGGAGGACTCACCTGAGTGGACTCTGGGGGCACGTGCAGCAGGTGGGGGGGGCGCTCGGCGTAGTGCTGCTGGCCCACGCTGCTCTCCTGCTCGTAGATGGCATCGCGCTCTGCCTGCGGCAGGCTCAGAAAGCGCCGGATCATGGACAGGTTCTCCCACAGGGTCCGGTTCTCCGGGGATGGATCCTCCTTCCAGCGGAGCAGCTCACACAGCCAGCCCTGTGAGCAGGAGAGGGGTCAGGGCTCGTCAGTAAGTGGCACGTCAGACCTCCCATGGTCACGGAGCCCATTTAACCTTCTGATTGCTACTCAGTGCCTTTGGGCCTTGAAAGTTGTGCTGGGTAAAGGCGATGCCCAAAATAACTCATCATTTTAAAATAATCCAATAAAAATAACGAGTCTTGGGGGGTCTATGTGAAGTACAGATCGCTCCACATAACTGCAACGGCTGAAACAAGGTTGGGAAGCTCACAGTGGGCTGGATTGTACCCAACTGTCAGACAGTCAGGTTTAACCTCCTTTCCATTGGTTATTTTGTTGATTCTCATCGCATTAAAACAATCAGTGATCTGCCCACTGTAGGTCTCAAGGCGGGTTATTGGTGCCTGCCGAAATCTGCATCCCGCAATCCTTTGCAAAACAGGCTGTACATATCTATACACCCTTGACTTGAGCGGCATATCACATGGTTAACCTCCATCGCGCTCAATATTAACAAAATTAAGGGGGTGTCAAGGTGGGAATGCACAACCATTTGAGGTGCCTTTTTAAACTTTTTTGACGGCACAGCATGGAGGTCGAGCAGGATGTTAATAGTATTATAGGAGCTAACATCCTGGGGGTGATGGGGGGGCCTATTTGCCCCCTGGGGGTTGGAGGAATGTTACGTGTGCGTTTGAATGAATAGACACAATATAATTTTAAAATCAAGTTTGTCACCAACCCGGAGATGCCTTTGAATCACACAGGAAGATCAAATGGGTTGAATATGAGAGTAAGTTTGACACAAAAATTTCTCCCCATTCTGATTGTGCAGGCATGTAATAACAGCAAGGTGGTGGGGTTACATGGATAGGGGACAGTAAAGGAGGGAAAGGGGGGGGGGAAGCCACAAAGGGAGGGGCCTCATATCACATCTGCGAAATCCATACGTGTGAGATGGTGTGATGGGAGTGTTGCGTGGCCCTTCTCCCCCCAGCAGGTAAAACATTCTGTGTATAAAAGCCATCTCGCTACCTCAGCTGTGCACATCAACCCCTCCCCCGCTGACGGGTCCTGGGCAAGCCAGCTGTCCGCGAGCAATTACACTGAGCGTTTGTGGGAGCCTTTACGGAAGCCAGGACGAGATGACAAGAAAGACCTCACATTTGTGAAAAACAAACAGTGATGGCCGTTCCGAGCAGTGTCTGTTCATTTGGTAAAGGGGGGGGGGGGGTGCGGTTAAAAACACAAGCTGCACAGGAATGTTTTCCTCCATGACAGAGCAAGAACAATTAAAACCAAAAAGCCACATTAACCTAAGAGACAAAGCGATGCTGTTCCTCTTGCTGGTCCTGTGCCAGCGACAGCGTCACGCAGATGAATCCTGCAGATAACGTGCTGCGTCCAAACCCCATAGCGGGCACCCGCCTGCCTGCCGTGTCCCCCAACTGTGCCCTGTCGTCGGACAGCGAAATGGGACCCGGTGTCGGTGGATTCTTATGGGCCGTTTGAGTCCAGTGAGGCTCAGAATTTAGTCCCGAATGGACACGTTTTTGCGGGAATCTTATTATGCAAATGTATCAGCTCTGGGCGGTTATTCAAATTTCCTTGGCAGAGGCAGACTTTTGCAAGAACGGGAAGGGGAAAGAAAAGAGAGAAGTGGGCCAGCGTCCTGACCCCCCCCGGCGCCCTGACCCCCCCCGTCGCCCTGAACTCCCAGTCAACCCCTTAAACGAGCACTCCAGCTGCGTGCTGGTTGCCCCCGACGACTCCTCCACCCACTGAGGTGCAAAGCCGTCACATCCGGTCCTGGCGGGGCGCCGGCACACGCCTCCCTCGCAGGATTAGCGCGGAGGACACAGTGCGGCTGCTGCCGTCCCTCGCGCCTCCTAGCGACATCCGGCCGTGGGAGAGCTTCCGGAACTTTCCCTGGACGCAGCCGCATGGAAGCTTTACAGCTCTCGCTCCTTAGTGCAGGTGTGGAATAAGACACCGTATGTGCCAATGGGAGATAGTAAAGACCGTCAGAGCGTGTTACGCTCTATTTTACTATTAGATGACACCCACAAAATCAAACCACAAGTAAGTGGGACCCTCTTTTCATTTGAAACACCGCCTGTATCACACACGGCTGCTGACAAAGCCTGGGAGGAGAATCTTTTTCCACACCAGCTGCACCATAACAGCACTGCAGAATTTTTATATTCTTTTCATATTTACATTTTAGTTATTTAGCTTATTCCCAAAGGGATATACAATTCACTGCCAACCCTGGGATTCAAACCAGCAACCTTCCGCCGACTGACACAGCGTCCTAACCTGCCGAGCCGCACACCTCCACCTCACCTCGACCCGATTTGACCCGAGGACCTCACCAGCCTGAACAGTCATTCACAGAATCTACAACTGACCGGCGTGAGCAAAGGCAAACACTGACAGCCACGTCACCGAAAGCGAATCTGAGCGCTATTTAATAACCATACCATTTGGAGGAAAATGTTTTTCATCTCCCAGTGTGATTTAACCCTTCAAGCAAACCAGCAGTAATTCGGAAAGCAGCGATAAAATCCTACAGCTTTGACACAAGGAGGATGCATCAAGTTTACGATGTTTCTGAGAACATGAAGTCAAGAATTAGTGAAGCAGACTAAATTTATAACAGAAAGGAAGCTGGTTTAGTAATTTGATAAGGTAACTTTGCTGGGAAATTCGTAATTAATCCAGCAGGTAACTCAATCCAGATCCACTTTGAAAGCGTTACTGGTGACCTGGACTTAAGTGGTGGCGGGGGGTGACACAGGTGCGCCACACTGTACATTTAACTCGCGGGGGAGCGGCAGCATAAATGTGCCACTCGTTTGTTAAATCCAGCTACTCTGAATCGTGAGAAACCCGTATGAGCTGTTTCGTAATCGGAAGAGCTGTTCGGTATTAAAGATGTAAGAGATGGTGGGGGCTGATACCAATTTACAAGCCAGAAGAGAATAAACAGGTGACCCCTCTCTTCCTCCTCCTCCCGTCTCTGATATGGGGGGTGGGGGGGGGGCACACCCTAGCAAGCACATCCAAAGGACATTTAACCGGTCACTCGGGGCATTGAGTGTTACTATGGCATGCTGTGCCCGTATGACACCGGGGATGAGGAGAGAGCCGAGAGAGGAGGGGGGAGGCAGGAAAACAAGTGAGCCTGGAGCAGGGCCTAATGTTTCCAGAGCGCAGGGCCCTCGCTGAGCCTGGCAGGGCCGCTTGCAGCAGCTCAATCGGAATATTTCATGGCGCATGGCAGCGGCGCGCTGAATGGTAATTATGACACATCTGATTAGGCGGGTGGGCCGCAGGCTGGGCGGGGGCCGGGGGGGCTGCAGGTGCGACCTCGCGCGCTCCTGCACGCGTAAATAAAATTAATCACGAGCGAG